AAGGTTTCGGTATGTTGTATTTTCATTTTCCTTCAACTCAAAGTATTTTCTAATTGCATTTGTAATTTCTCCTTTGGCCTATTGGTTATTTAGTAAGAGTATGTTGTTTAATTTCTACATACTTGTGAATTTCCCAGGTTTCCTTCTGTTATTCTTAACTAGTTTCCATTCCATTATGGCCACAGAAGATTTTTTGAATAATTTCAATCTTTAAAAATTTCACTGAGGTTTGTTTTGTGGTCTAACATATGATCTATCTAGGATAATGTTCCATATGCCACTGAGAAAAAGATATATTCCACTGTTATTGGGTGGTTTGTTCTATGTAAGTCTGTTAGGTCTAGTTGTTTTACAGTGTTGCTCAAGTATTCAGTTTCCTTTCTGATCTTCTATCTAGTTGTCCTATCAAAGTCTCCAATTATTATTTTAGAAGTATCTATTCCCCTTCAATTCTGTCTATTTTTGCTTCATACATTTGGAACCTGTTGTTTGCATCATATATATTTATAATATCTTTGTGATAGATTGGCCTGTTTATCAATATATAATCTCCTTCTTTGTCTCTTGTACAATTCTTAACTTACAGTTTATTTTGTCTCATAGTACAACCACTCCAGCTCTCTTTTGGTTACTATTTGCATGGAATCTCTTCCCATCCTTTCACTTTCAACTTATTTGTGTTTCTGGATCTAAAGTGAATCTCTTGTAGAATCACATTTTTTAAAAATTCATTCTATCAACCTCTGCTTTCTACACCTGCACAGTTTAATGTATTTATATTTCAAGCAATTACTAAAAAATTTAACTCTTCTATTTTGCTATTTGTTTTCTATCTGTTCTTTAACTGATCTATTACTGCCTTCTTTTGTAATTAATTGAATTTTCTGGTATAACACGTTGATTCTCTTCTCTTTACTTTTGTGTGTGTGTGTGTGTGTGTTTAACTTTTTATAGTGTTTACCATGGGGATTAGAATATCTTCACTTTGTAACAAACAAATTTAAATTAATACCTACTTCATTTCAGAAATATACAAAAACTGCTCCATTACAGCTCCATCCCACTTCTCTTCATGTTTTTATCTCAGTGCCTACATTCTTCCACAAACAAGAACATTATTATTTGGTTTACAAATCTAGATATGTAGTTCTTTCCAGATTTACTTTTTTTTTTATTATATACGCTTTTTGAAGTGCTATGAAAACTTTAACTTTGGACTTTCTGAAGCTTTGCAAAGATTGTAGGGATTAGTAAAATGAAAAGACTATATAGTATTATATTATTCTCCTCTGGAGAACTGAAGATACCCAAATTAGTAATGTTTACAACAGGCATTCTGAGCAATAGTGAGATGGGACATAAATGAATACCTTATATGTAGATAAATGTACTTTAAAGGCCCTTAATTTGAGCAGTATTTTGAAGGATTCCTAATCAAAAGACTGTAATTTAGCACAAATCAAATAGAAAAATAAAGAGATAAAAGTATGGGACTTTTCTTTAATACATGATTTGAAGAACAGGCCAATAAAGAATCAGTGAACATTAAGAAGATCTAGAACAATAAGCACACCTAGCCTCCAGATTTTTGTCTCTAAATACCATTTCCCACTAAAAAGGAACTAATACTCCTTTGAAAGATGGCTGATTTCTGGGCAGGAAATGTATAAATTTATTATAACTTGCCACACCAAAAAATGTAGAAAGACTCAAGGCTACTTACTATTCTAGGCTTATGTCAAAAGAACTCAGAAGACAACTTGAATACGCTCTCAGTGAACAAAGATGGAAGAACCCGAGCATCAACCAGGAAGTACAGAGTTATGAATAGAGTTCATAATGATGAGTTCATTCATGATACCTAAAAGTACTAATTAATTATCTTTAGAAAATGATTTTCAAAACCCCACCATCTCAACATTTTGAGTACCTGTAAATAAAGGGAAAGAATACTGTGTTTATCCTGCCTTTCCTATGCAATCTATATCTCAGAATAACAAAAAAAAAAAAGTTGATGAAGTGAAATTTCTTTAATAGAAGTATATTTCAGCTAATAACAACAACAACAAAACCATGAAAGATATTTGCAATCTCTGATAAACTGATGGATTTAGATAGTAATCATCATTTGCTATTAATATCACAGAGAGACAACAGAAGGAACAAAGGAATATGTTAAACATCACAGAGACATTCAGAAAAAATCGAAACTGGTTTTCAATTATCCAATTTCTTTAAAAACGGGAGGAGGGGGTAAAGATAGAGGGAAAATGAATCTATTAATTAAAAGACCACAAGGGTATACCACAACTATAAATAAATAAATAAATAGAGACAATGGGGGAATTTTAAACACTGACTAGAGACGTTTGATGATATTGAATAATTTAGGAGTGATGGTGATTATGTTGAAAAAATACAACCTTTCTTTATAACAGAAACACCGAATTTTTTACAGATGAAATTATATTATGTCTGCAATCTGCTTCAAAATAATTCTAATAAGGAGGAAACAAATGAAATAAGATTAGCCAGAAATTAATCACTGTTGAAGATTGATGGCAACATAGGGGTTCACTATGCTCATCTTTTTAGTATGTTGTTAAAATTTTCCATATTCAATTCTAAAAAGAAAAGATTAGAAATGTATCAAAATAAAGAAGCTCAGGGCCAGGCGCGGTGGCTCAAGCCTGTAATTCCAGCACATTGGGAGGCCGAGGCGGGTGGATCATGAGGTCAAGAGATCGAAACCATCCTGGTCAACATGGTGAAACCCTGTCTCTACTAAAAATACAAAAAATTAGATGGGCATGGTGGCGCGTGCCTGTAATCCCAGCTGCTCAGGAGGCTGAGGCAGGAGAATTGCCTGAACTCAGGAGGCAGACGTTGCAGTGAGCCAAGATCACGCCATTGCACTCCAGCCTGGACAACAAGAGCGAAACTCCATCTCAAAAAATAAAAAAAAAAGAAGCCCAAAGAAAAGAGGGGTAAAAGTGGGAAAGTATCCATGGGAGGATAAGGCTAACATGGTAAAGAAGGAAACAGCTAGAGAATTCACCTATTATACTAAAATCATTCTGAGATTTAATATTCTTTAATGTCACTTTTTCTTTTTTTAGTTTTTTTTTAACACAGGGTTTCACTCTATCACCTAGGCTAGAATGCAGTGGTGGAATCTCAGCTCACGCAACCTCAATCTCCTGGGCTCAGGCAATCCTCTCACCTTGGCCTCCTGAGTAGCTGGGACCACAGGCATGTCACCACACCTGTCTAATTTTATTTTTTGTAGAGACAGGGTCTTACTGTGTTGCCTAGGCTGGTCTTGAACTCCTAGACTCAGGCAATCCTCCCTCCTTGGCTTCTCAAAGTGCTAGAATTACAGGCATGAACCACTGCGTCCTGGCAATGTTAGTTTCTTATTCTTTTCCTTCTATCTCTAAGGGATAAGGCACCTACAATACAGTAGAATTGTCTAATATTTACTGATCTAGCTAGTGTGTAAAATTGTTTAAAAGGGATTTAAAAAAAATAACAGAGCAAATAAACTTAAAAATATAAAATAATGAACAAACAAAAGCTTAAAACAAGAACATAAGTTTCATTGGAGCAGGGATTTTGTTTTGTTTCTTATTAGAACAGTTCCTGGCACGTAGGTGCTCAATAAATATCTATGAAATAAATTAACGAACAAAACAAATTAAGTTGATAACTACAGAGTATTTCGTCACAAAGTTAAAAGTCAAGTGGCAATAATCTAATAAGCAGTTTTACTAAGAGTAGTAGAAAGGAAAAGTAGCTGTAAAAGTAATTAATACTTCCACACATTTCATTTTCAGTAAGCATTTCTGATTTTGACAGCTCTACTTCAATGTCCCACTAAATCATGGTTTCCCAGATCAGTTCGTTTTGGGCAAGAAGAGTAACAAAAGAAACTAATTTACTAGGCACCACATTAGATTATTTTTACTTATATTACATTACTTAACTGACACAAAAATCCTTGAAAGTCAATATTAACTCTCAACATAAAAGAAAACATCAAATTTGTCCAGAGTAAGTAAAGCAATATCATATTTGAATGCAGGGATATCTCTAATACATAACTCTTTCCACTTTACCATACTAATTCAGAGAGTTAACACCCTAGAAAAAATTCTCTGGAGAAATATGTAAGAGTTTTACTTTCTCTTTATTTTACATATACTCCTGTTGCAAAAGGATTAAATTCATTGTGACTAGACTGCGCAAGAATTATCATTACCATCAAAAATACTTCAGTTTGTAAGACAATGGACAGCATTCAGACAAATCCTTTAAACTTTTAAAACAGTTTAAAAATATAGACTGGTAAACATACCAATTCAGAAACTGTTTGAAGAAATAAAGGCAGAGTCATCTAAATATGCCTACTGTAATTAAAAACTGACAATATTTATGGGCTTAGGGATTTTCCAGATTTTAGAACAAATTTTTTTTTTTTTTTGAGTAGCTGGGATTACAGGTGCCTACCACCAGGCCAGGCCAATTTTCTGGATTTTTAGTGGAGATGGGGGGGTCTCACCATTTTGGGCATGCTGGTATCGAACTCCTGACCTCACGTGATCTACCCTCCTTAGCCTCCCAAAGTGCTGGGATTACAGGCATGAGCTGCCGCATCAGGCCAGAACAATTATAATTACCAAGAAAACTGAATGCGGTTATTGGCCACCTAGCATTGGTAATATACCATCACATCTTAAAGAAAAAAAAAACTGTGTAACCATATAGCGAGATCTCTCGCTTAAGAGTTTCTTCTAACACTCACGACCAGGAAACTAAGATATAACCAGATAAAGAATCTTTGCCATTTAGATCTAAACGAATCTTTGCTATCAAGGATCTAAAATGACCCTTGCCTAGTTATATGTAGACAAAGATAATTTTCATTTAATATATTTATTAATCAGTTATATACACTTTGGCTCTAAAATGTTCCCACCAAAAAATTACGTTGATTTTACCTGAGGATGCTTGTAATAGTACAACTAATCCGGTAGGTCGGTCTTCAGAGGAGGGGCCACTTTGTCCACAAATAACACAGTCATATACTGCCTCGGAAACCTGTGGTTCTGCCGTGGTGATGTCCATAGGGATGTCATTCTCAGGAGAATCTGAGGGGAAAAAGTTACATCTCTTTAATTCCTTCGAAGGAAAATCGCTCTTCAATGAAAGTGTAAGCGAAAAATCAAGTTCAAACAATTTTTAGCTTCAATACCAATAAAGTATATAGTAATAAAACTGAAAAAAATTACCTTACTCAAGTAAAATGTTTATTTAGTCAGAGTTAGACAAAATAATGCAAAGACTTTAATAATGAAAGATTTAAACTAAAATATGGTTAAATGCACTTCTAATGTATCGTTCACATATAAAATTGATACAGAAACACAGAGGCAAAGATATTTGTATCAAAAGAGAAATATTTTAAAACAACATGTTACAAAAAGAAGGAAGATGTTTGTTTTAATTTTCTTTGAGGCACCTAAGGGGACATTCCCAACAACATGAAGCTCTTGGGAAGATGAAGGTAGTATTTACTAGTATGTAAAAAAGGAAAAAATGATGTCTTTCTCACTCTCAATTCTAGTGATTATATCTCAGAAATAGCAGCTATTGATATGTTGATTTATGTAGGGAAATCATTAAGATATGACCATATTATATATGAATAAAGCAGAACTCATTGAAAATAACAGTAATCCTCTGGTGATACGTCATTAATAGTAAAAAATAAAATATTGAGTCAATAATGATTTACAGATAAAGACACATTCATGAAGATAAGTGATGCTGCCACTGGTGGCAAAGAAATGAGTAGAAGAGACTGGGAAGAACAGCAAAGTAGAAGTGCTTTATGAAATGTTTAAAAGACAGAGACACATCTAAGTAAATATGTAAAAATATATGTCAGAAATAGGAAAAGGAAGATGTCAAGTTTAGATATTTTAAATAAGAATTCAAGCAGATAAACATACATCTGATATTTATGAAGAATGACTGAGAGGAAAAGGGACAGTAACCTAAAACAGAACTTTGGGTAATGCCTAGAATTAAGGGAAATAAAAAGATACCATCAAAGAAATAAGCAAAAAAAAAAAAAAAAACCTGAATGGAATCAAACCAATAAAGTGCAATGTCTATAAAAATACATTAGCAGGTCAAAAGAAAAAGAAGATTTCAAAAGAAAGAGAGTACCAGAGGCCATTAAGAGTTGATATGAGGCCAGGTTCAGTGCCTCATGCCTGTAGTTCCAGCACTTCGGGAGGCCAAGGCACACATATCACCTGATATCAGGAGTTCGGGACCAGCCTGGCCAACATGATGAAACCTCATCTCTACTAAAAATACAAAAAATGAGCAAGGCATAGTGGTGGGTGGGTATAATCCTAGCTACTTGGAAGGCGGACGCAGGAGAATCACTTGAACCTAGGAGGTGGAGGTTACAATTAGTTGAGATCACACCACTGCACTCCAGCCTGGGCAACAAAAGTGAAACTACATTAAAAAAAAAAAAAAAGAGTTAATATGAGATTACTGTGAGTTATAGGGAGAAAAGAGAAGAGAAAACAGTACAGAAAAAAAAAAAAAAGGAATGTGTCTGCTCTGAAGTGCAGAGAACACAGAGTTTACCTGACAAATTATAGTGAAATAACTCAGTCTTGTGTTAAGTGCCAAAAAAAATACAATTTTATTAACTTTATCTCACACACAAAGATCATTTTCTTTCTTTAATAAGTCTTGGTACAACAGACTTGAAAACCTCAAGGAAATCCTGATGCCAAAACACATTATCCAAGATGCTGCCAGTCACCTTTTCTATTTTTAAAAGAAACTTCAATGACAATCTTCAACAGTGAAGTGATACAGTACTAAAGGCATGAAAATAAAATAGGTGACCTCATTTTCATGGAGAGTACTTTTTATTTGAAGTCTGACTTTGAAAATTACAGACACTAATGTCCCTTTTTTCTTCAAGAAACTATTTTCATTATTTATGAAAAGAGGAGAAAGTCACAGCTCTTTATATCCTATGTTGAATTAAAATGTTGTTGGTAATATATGGTTGATGCTATCATTCCAGTACCAAATTTTGACATTTTTAGTAAGATTTAAAAAGGATTAGTGATCAAATTAAATGCTTTTATTTAAATGTGATTATTGTTTCTCACTTACCTGTGAGCTATGAAAAAAATTTAAGTACATATTGTATGTAAATGTTTAAAGAACAAAAGCATGAAAAACTAATATACAGAGTCTGGAGTAATGATACTGGTTACTTGGAAGAGGCAGTGACAGAAAGAGACTATGAGGGGAGCTTATGGGACTCTGGTAATGTTTTATGTCTCAATTTGGATGCTGGTTTCTCAATCTGGATTTGGTTATACAGTTACAATCTGTTTGTAAAAACTCAGAGAGCTCTAAAATCCTGAAACATGCATTATGGGTATATTTCAATAAAAAGGTTTCTTTTAAAAAGCCCCACTCTAAATGAATAACTTGGTATACTCTGTAACAAGTATTATACTAAAGGTACTTAATGTACCTTTATTATTAATGTGCAATATCTGCACGTTTTCCACACCAAAAACAAAAAAATCTAAATGATATGCCCTGCAAATTGATGCAATGAAGAGTACAGTGATTTACAATCTAGGTTAGCTAAGTAAATAAAAGATGCAAAACTGATAGAGTAATAGTCAAAGATGACAAATCCAAGTGTTACTAGAAATTAATAATGAAAATATTCTTGCTACCAAATAACTTTGGAATTTTTAAGTTCTACTTTAACTTTCAACTCAATTCAAATTAAAAGGGTTTCTCTATAAAATTCACACTCTTTTAGAACAAAAGTACTACTTAAATTACCATAATTGATATCATTACAATAAATGCAAAAAAAAAAGATGACTAACTAAAGAAATAGTTAATTCATCTGTTTGGTTTTACATGAACAGAAAAGCATCTATCTGAATGAAGCAGCTGATTCTTCTGACTGCTATTGCACTTTGCCAAATGTCTGCAAGATGGCCCCAATTCTCCACTCCTTCCTGTAACCATGCTCTTTACAATGTGATATTGTAACTCCTCCCATTGAGAGTTTATTTCTCAACTCCTTAAATATCAGCTGGACTTTCTTGTTTTAACCAAACGAATGTGAAGGATGGACGCTGTGACTCACACCTATAATCCCAGCACTTTTTGGAGGTCCAGGCAGGTGGATTGCCTGAGGCCAGAAGCTCAAGACAAGCCTGCCCAACATGGCAAAACCCTGTCTCTACTAAAAATACAAAAATTAGCTGGGTGTGGTACATGTGCCTGTATTCCTGGCTACTCAGAAGGCAGACGCAAGAGAATCACTTGAATTCGGGAGGCGGAGGCGACAGAATGAGTGAGACTCCACTCAAGAAAAAAGAAGAGAGAATGTGGCAAAAATAACAATATGCCTCAATATGCCTTTCAAGACTAGGCCTCAAGTGATCTTGCATAGTTTCTCTCTCACTCTCACTCTCTCTCAGCTCCACCTTGCATAGTTTCTCTCTTTTGCTCTCACTCTCTCAACTCCACCATCTCCATGAGAATAAGTCCAGGTGGGCTACCCTGCCAGAAGAGGAGAGACCAAATGGAACACAAATAAGTTGTCCCACCAGTTCATGCCAGCCCCCTGTTAACCAATCAGCAGATCACAGAACCGTAACTCAGCCCATGGGTCTGTAGGTGATGAGATCAGCTAAGCCTTCTCCAGAAAAGTTTGGTTCACCAAAGAACCACTAAGTCTACTCATTGACTCATGAAAAATAATTAGTGGTTGTTGTTTTAAATCCCTAAATTTTGGGAAACAGCTGATTACACAACAATTGCTAACTGATATGATTCTACTGTATGTCAATTATAATATGGTACCTTTCAAAAGAATTGAAGGGAAAGTAATTCCCTTACCAAGATGAGTCATGAAAACTAGTATTTAAAGTGATAAAGTGTTTCATTCAGAATATTTTCTAGTCTAAGGAATTTAAAAAATCATTTTCCAAAATGATTTTTAACTTTAATATCTACTTATTTTACAACCATTAATTTTAACATCATCAGAGTAAAAAGCATCCATATTCAAAAATACCACAATTCTACTTCAACAGTTTACATTGTTACATAAAATTTCCTGTTCTAATATTTGTTAAAAATACTTAGAGCTTATTTTAATATAAAATTAATCTTGAATTACAAAATAGCCTTTGCCTTTTTTCTTAACTTTTTATTTATGAATTAATTGGGTTAATTTAAACTAAAATAAGTATCAGCAGGAAAATAAAAAATCTTCGAGCTTCATGTTTTGCTTTTCATGTTTGTGGGGTTTTGTGGCTGAATGGAAGGAAGAACGGGTAAATGATAAAGGTATGATGTATTTGGTGCCCTCAAAATCAAGTGAAATACATTTTTATTTGAAAGAGGAATAAGCAACTGCAAAACACAAGTAGCAGAGGGTAAGGTACGGTTTTCAGCCCAGTGGCAGGCACAGAGAATTTTTATTCCATAAATTAATCCAAAATATTAAATGTTTTTTGAACACAATATAATTTTAAAATATATCTGAGAAGTACTTGAGACTAACCTAGCAACTGAGTTACTATTCATAAACTAAGTACACTATTAGAGTTTACTGATTTCTGCTGAAAAGTCTGACTTCCCTCAGATAACTGCCAATATTGCAATACTCCCACTGCATAATATCATTAATTTTAATAAGGATGTGCAGTATTATCTTCAATTGGTCATCATTTTTATTATCATTCTTTTCTCTTTTTTTAGTTGGTATAGAAAGAGTATTCGCATTCTTTCTTTTTTAAGAAATAATCTGCTTATTTTAGAATAGTTTTGGATTTGCAGATACTACAGAGTTTGGAAGATACTACAGAGTTCACATGTACCACACACGCAGTTTTACCTTAAACTTTACATTAGCATGGTATGACTGTTAGAATGAATATATATTATTTATTTGTAATGATATAATATTGACAAATTAACTGAAGTCCAATTTTTTTTTAGATTTCCTTCATTTTTATCTAATATCCTTTCTCTATCTCAGGATACCACAATACCTAAGTTGCCATGT